TGCTATTAAAACATTGGGAACAGTTATATTACCTACCTATTTAATCTTTATATCCTTATTATTATTTTATTACCGATAGATTTAATTTAAATTACCGGTCTCAAATATAATAATTTTTTTGTTTTGTTTTTTTCTTCTTTATTTTTTTCCAACTAAATTAATTACACCTTTTGTTTCTTATCGTTAATTTAAATATAATATAATGATGATAAAAAAATAATAAAGACAAAAAAATAAATATACAATATAATAATTCCAAGAACCTTTATACTAATAATGCACTAATTAAAGTCTCAAAGAGATAATTAAGGTTGGATAACTCCAAAAAAAAAATAAAAAATTCACTAATTAAAGTCTTTCTTCTATTTGGATGCAAAAATATATGTGTGGTCCCTGCTTGCTGTAAGAAGTATGATAGGAGCCTCCTGGTTCTTGCCCTGGGAAAAAGAACTTTTACTTATTTTCCCTTTTATGTTGTGTTGGTTTATGCTTTTCTTTTCCTCTTCGAAAACGAAATTCAAAAAGGTTCACTGTTCCCAGTCTTTTTTCTCTTTTCAATTGAAAACTGAACGAGAATCTCACCAACCACAGCACCTTATTTTATGGGATAGACACGTGGTTATCTCAATTACGTGTTTTCAGGTAGCTCGTCGACCCTCGTGCTGTCTTTTTCCTTAACAACCGCTTCGTCAATTTCCATACTCCCCAGTCTTGTTTATTAAGAAAACGTTGTTTACTTACCAAAAAACAGAGAGAAAGAAAACCTTGTCTTAAAATGAATAATAAATATATTTTTATTTATTTATTTTAGAGAGAAATAAATTGAAAAATAATTTTGTCTTATTTATTTTTCTTGGCTTTAATTTATCTACGAAACACTCCGAAACTTCATGATAAATACAGGAGGACAGGACACCGAAAAAAAAGCTTATTTTTTTTTATCTGATCTTAATTATTTTTTTGAGGCGAATCAGAACTCTCAGTATCCTCACGAGTTCAACTTTTTGAGTCGCCTATGAGACTAATCTAGAGTTCGGGTACGAGTCAAATAATTATGATACTTATGCCCCTCCCCAGATAGTATTGGTGAAATTCGAACCGAGGTCCTTGATAAGTCCATTATTTGTGACTTAGAACATGTGATTTGATATTAAAATGGGAGTGAAAAGAATATCTTTGTTAATAAAAAAACCCCAAAGATTGCATTGAAGTGAATTTTTCTGATTTTGATATTAATGGGCTGATTTTATATGTTCAGGCCCAATTGGTGTTAATTCTCCATGCAGAAAAATAGTGAAGAAAAATTGGGCAAATGCTTTGATCAGAAGCCCAAAATGAGAAAGCAAATCAGAAAAGAAGAGAATGGGCCAGAGGAATTAAAACCCAATCAGTGGCCCAAAAGAAAAGAAAAGAAGGGGAGAGAAAGAAGTCAGAATCGTGCGTCTTCTGAAAGAGAAAAAAAAAAAAAAAAACCTAGCATAGACCGTCTAAGTGAACCTACTCCATCTCAAGCTCTCCATCACGGTTCCTTCTCTGAATCGAGCAAGTAAACCAAAAACATCCTCTGACTTTCAACCTAGATATAGAACCATCACCTTCCACCACGGTTCAGTTTTTGAATCGGACCAACCTACACAAACCCTAACGCCTTTTCTCTCTAACCGAACCCTAACCCTCATACAACCCATCTCCATCGTTTGCACCCTTTCTACCCGATTGACGCACCAAACCGCACAATTTCGCAAACAACCAGAACCTAGCCACTATTTTGAGTTAGAAAAAGGACAAAGGAAAACCGTTACTGAGTGGTGAGCTAGATACTTTTCGAGAGTGAGGCTGAGCGATTTTTGGGCACAAGGTTACGTACGGGTTGAAGGAGCAACAATCCATTCAGATTGTCTGAGGAGGGAGCTGCTGGGGACCACCTACCTGCGACGCGCGAGAAGCGCGTAACCCCTGCTGAGCTGGAAAAGAAAAATCGTGCAGAGAAGGAAATGAGCCCTATAAAAAGGGACTAAGGAGTGAGTCTCTGCTGGGCACTCCTGATTCTGATTTATCGTTTTTTTTAGTTCTTGCTTTCTGAACAATTTTTATTTTCTTTTAATTTCTATTTTGTAATGAGATTCTGGTTCATCTGATGAACTCGATACATGTATTTACAACACTGAAATTGCTGGTTGTTAGGCTAGTGCTGTAAATTATTTTCTAGCATTTCTCTTTTGTAATTTCTTTAGTTCTGTTACTGTGTGTAAGCCTCATCTATATGGATAGTGGCTAACTTTTTAGAGGTTGGGTTTAGGTGATACCCAAACCTCAGTGCTTGTTAAATATTTGATTTTCTGGTTTTAATTTTTATATCTCAGTTGTTTAATGTTTTTTTTTAATGTTTAAAATTATCTGCATTTTGGCCGAATGTCAGAGGTTTGGTTAGGATTTAGTTGTTGAGAAACAACTAATTCTGGATTCTGCATTAGACACATGGACTTAGATGAGAAATTATCTAAGGGATCTCAATTCAGAAATGAATGAGCCCTCATGTAATATTGGACCTGAGTCTCAAGAGTCCTAATCCCACTTGGCATAGAGATATGGAAGTGGGCAACTTTGGGCTAAAATAATTTTTAAGAGATTAAAAATTAACAATACAGTTCTGTTAACTGAGAATCTTAGGATGAGCTTTTTGTTAATCAAATTATTTTTCAAGCACTGTGGGGAAGGAGAACCAAAACTCATCCCACCTTTTTAAACCTCTTTATCAATTCAGATTTTCCAATTTCCTTTGTTATTTCATATTTCAATCTCTATTCTGTTTTCAAAATTTTTGTCACATCTTTCATTTAAGTTGCTTCATTCTTCATTCGTATTTTATAACTTAGGAAAGTAATTCAGAAAATTTTAAAAGAAAAGTGAACAGTAGTGTTTTAGGTCCATTTTAGAATATTTTTTTACTTTACAATTTTATTTCTTCTATTTTCAAATAGTAACTCAGTTTTAAGCAATTACAAATTTTAGTCATTTCAAAACGCCAACGATCCTTGTGGGAACGATAACTGGGACTTATAACAGCCCTATATTACTTGTTGTCGCGTATACTTGTGCGCATTACTTGCACAACTGTTAGCAAGACAACAGTCCTCTTTCACCACTCAATCTCCATACTACCAACTGAGCCACTATACTTGGTTAAAAAGAGTTATTTCTAAGTTTGATACTAAATTGACTAAAGTTGTTTCAATAATGTACATAATTATTAGAAATTAAAAGAATAAATTATAATTATTTATCAAACTTTAGTAGGTGGACTTAAAAATTGAGAAATATGAATTTGAAGTGGGGATGTTAGCACATCCTGATTATAGATATTAATCTCAAATGACATAAAAAATACACTAAAAATCGCTGTTTATTGTAATATTGAAGAAGATGATTGAAAAATCGTAGTTTATTGTAATACGACGAATACGAAACACGCTTCAAAAGTCGCCTCAAGTCACCAGGAATTTTAAGAGGGAAATAGATTTAAAAGTTGTTAACTAATTAGGGACTTCTTAGTTCTTACGGTATTTGATATTTTTAAATGCTAATGTTCTTATTAAATATTATTATTAATTATTATAATAAATAATTTAAATTTATCAACTATAAACTAACAATTAACAAAGAGGTTCAAATACAATGAATTGTCTAGGCTTTTTTGTCTTTACACATTCATTGAACAACTTTCTAAACTTATCAATTGGGCATATTAATTTCCTTAGAAGAATAACCCAGGATTTATTCATGCAGGACTTGGTGGGTTTAACTAGGAGTCGTGTTGGTTAGTTTGTAAATGGGTTTTATAAAAGTTATGTTGTAGGAAAAATGATTGTGTTATGTTATAGAGATTTGTTTTGCGTGCCGTAGTTTTCGTTTTTTTTCTTCAAAACATGTGGGCCCCACAAAATGTTGTGTGTAGAAATTTTTTTGTGATCATGTTAAATGATGAATACAAATCCCTTTGTAAATATAGCAGATTTTTTAACCCCATAGTTAAAAAATATTTATTGTATGCGAGCCTAATAAATATTCGATAATCTAAAGGCATTTATTAATAATTAGAGTAAATACATTTTTGAGTCCCTAACAAAAAAATACAATCCCGACTTTAGTTCTTTACAAAAAAAAAAATAATCGGTGGGTCCCTATAAAATTCAAAGTAAACTCATTTTAGTCCTTTTGAGGGATTAGTGTGAATCTTTTTTGAATTTGTGAGGGACCATAATTTCAACTAAATGTGTTCACTTTGAATTTCTTAGGGACCTCGAGACTAATTTTTTTTTATAAAGAACTAAAGTGAGAACCATCTTTTTTATTAGGGACAAAAAAAAGATATTTACTCTAATAATTATTAGTACTTCTAAAATGATATAATTAAAGAAGTAATCTGCAATAAAAAAATACTAATTCTATATACCCTGGCCTGGAGTGACCTCTACAAAAACCTATAGACATTTGTCTTTCCACCAGCTACACTACCTTTAGATAGCTTGGATTTTCTCTCTTTCGCTTTATGGACCACTCTTTCAATATTAAATATTAATCATCATAAGCATAGCAAATAATAAACAAACAATGAAAATTTCGTTTCAGACCCTACAGAACAGAGTACATAATAGAATAGAATAGACACATGCCTCCCCCCTCTATCCCTTCGCCACGTTCACGAGAAAACATTATTGGGAAGCACAAAGGTGCGCATTGCGCACCCTACCCCTTTACACACAATCCTCTTAATAGAAAAAGCTTCAAACTTGACACCGCCGTTTCAGAATCAGAGTCCATTTTCACTCAACGTTAACTGCTTTGTGGCATACCCATTGGAGAAAAGCTTCAAACTTGACACAGCCATTTCAGAATCAGATCCCACTTTGCTCAAAATTAACTGCTTTTTGGCATACCCATTTGAGTTTTAGTTTGTATAACTGAAGGTAAGCTTTTTGTTCTGTTGGGTTTAACTTCCTATGGCGATTGGTCTTCTTCTATGGCTGTTACTGGCCAAGGGTCTTGCCTTGGAGGGTGCAGATGCGGTCACATTTTCTTCCAGGCTCATTCACCGGTTCTCTGAGGAGGCCAAGGTGCAATTGGCCTCAAGGGGCAACGGTGCTTCGGTTCAGTCGTGGCCCAAGAGGAGCAGCTCTGAGTATTTCAGGTTGCTTCTGAACAGCGACTTGACAAGGAAGAGGATGAAGCTTGGCTCGCAATATGAGACTCTGTATCCTTCGGAGGGTAGCAAGACCTTCTTCTTTGGCAATGCGTTTGATTGGTGAGTAAGTCTTTGTCTGTTTGGCTTGTGAGGAAATGCCACCCATCATGAGGAAAATAAAGTTCGAGACTTTTGCTCATACTGTATTATTTATTGTATCCTACAATGGTGTTGAACTGTCAAGTTTCATTTTATTGATTTTAAAAGACTCTCCTTTTTATTTTTTGTATATATACTTTTGGTTGAAAGTTACTACCCTTCACTAGAACTAAGAGTTATGATTAAGTCTAGACTATGGCAGTTGAAGTGCACGCTTATGGGTCAATTTTGAAATGCATGGTTTGAAGTCATGTGATTAATTTCCTGCTAAACTTCAAATTGGCTATTTTTTTATTGATTAAATGACTAGAAAGAGGATAGAAATGGGGATCGAGTAGAAGAAGGTTGGCAACGGCATGTATGAACTCATTCATTGTGGAATTTCAGGTTGCATTACACTTGGATTGATATAGGGACTCCAAATGTGTCTTTTCTTGTTGCATTGGATACTGGAAGTGATCTGCTTTGGGTCCCTTGTGACTGCGTAGAATGTGCTCCCTTGTCTGCTGGTCATTACAATGTGTTGGTGGGTCCATGATACGAACTCCATTTGCCTTATAATTTCTTTCAAAACTTTTACATCTCTGTATGTTATTGTATTATGTCATTACTATGATGAACTTCATTATCAGCCCGTTTAGCTCCATGTTTTTCCTTTTGCTTTCTTTATTGTATTTTTCACCTTGAATGACATATCCCTTGTGAATTATTCATCTTGTAAACATATGGGGTTCTGGTGTTAACAGCCCTTTCTTAGCCATATACACACAGGTGAGGGTGAGACGGTTAAGAATATGCTAGGGGCTAATAGAAGAAGCACGTCCTATGTATGTGTACCTTTTCTGTTATCAATTAAAATGTGCTAGATGGTGAATGTTACTTGTATATCAAACAGAACACTTCAAAGCAAGGATCTGTGATTGTGTTGGACATGTATTGCATAGCTCAATACTCAAAAGTCCTTATGGCTCACTTTAAATTCTGTTGTATCACAATGTAAGTGTCTGTGCCTTGTCCTGCATCAGTGTATCCATGCTTCTTAGCTATCTTTTAATGACCTTCCTCCCTTACAGTGTAGGCTCATAAGTAAATATTAATATACTTTAAATATTCTTATTAGGACTTCTTCAATAGTTCTCCTAAGAGAGGTAAGAGATTTAGCAGTTAATTTCAATGATTGATTGGCAGATGCTCCCTTGTATATGGGGGTATCTCTGATGCAGGATAGGGATCTAAATCAGTATAGCCCATCATTGTCCAGTACCAGCCGACATCTACCTTGCAGTCATCAGTTGTGTGATCTAAATTCCATTTGCAAAGGTCCTAAGGATCCTTGCCCATATCTTGCTCAGTACGTCTCAGAGAATACCTCAAGTTCTGGATTTCTTATTGAAGACAAACTTCATTTGGCATCGGATGGCAGACATGCTACACAAAATTCTGTGCAAGCCTCTATCATTTTAGGGTATATTTATTATTGTCTGGAATTATCATACTGTTTGAGTGTTTTGTTCTTCGAGGTATAATATGTTGGGCAAGATTTCAAGCAATAATTGATACAAAAAGAAGAAGAAGATTACAAGCAATAAGTTTGGTTTCCATCACTGCTCAAGATAATTGATTTTTGAGTGCAGTTGTGGTAGCAAACAAAGTGGTGGCTATTTAGATGGAGCTGCTCCTGATGGTGTTTTGGGGCTAGGACCTGGAAGCATTTCACTCCCAAGTTTGCTGGCAAAGGCACGACTTATTCAGAATTCTTTCTCAATTTGTTTTAATGAGAATGATTCTGGGAGTATTCTCTTTGGCGACCAAGGGCATGCCACCCAACAATCTACTCCATTCTTGCCTGTAGATGGGGAATTGTATGTATTGTGTATAATGCTCTTTAGCTGCCGCTTTTAAATGTTTCTTCTAAACGTGTTCTAACCTTCTTGGTTTGTCTTGAATGTTAATTGTTTACATTGCTGTAGTGTTAATTATATTGTTGGAGTGGAGAGCTTCTGTATTGGGAGTTTTTGTCCCAAGGAAACTGGATTTGAAGCACTTATTGACAGTGGAAGTTCTTTCACATATCTTCCCGATGAAGTTTATAAAAATGTTGTAGCGGAGGTAATTCCTTTTATCATAATCTAGTGTCATATGATCACGCATATACTGGGCTAAAAGTTATCTTTCACCGAATGTAGTTTGACAAACAAGTAAATGCAACCAGGATTATCCTGCAACAATACCCATGGGAGTACTGCTATAATGCCAGGTTAGGTACTAAATGATTAGGAGTTTAGGCTTATAAGCTTCTTACATTTTTTTGTAACTCAGCTGTTTTTCATGTGACAGTTCACAGGAGTTGATTAACATTCCCCTGATGAAACTCACTTTCTCAAAGAATCAAACTTTTTTAATTCAAAATCCAATTTTTACAGATCCTGTCAGTCAGGTAAGCTAACCTTTCAAGTTTTTCTTTCCCTTCTCTTTTTGGTATAAATGTTAGTGTCTTTGATTGAAACTTTTGAGTCAAGATTTAAACATTGATCCATGAGGTAACAAACTAGCCTTTCATATGTATCTAGGGCAGTGGCAGTTGGTTTTTACTCTGTGGTGAGTGGTACTCTGGCTTCCAGAGACTGCCATTGGCTGAAAATGAATCTTTATGTATTTTATGGGATTTTTTTTTTTTGAAGGGATACTTGTTTTGAAAAAAAAATTCAAGGGGTGAAAACTGAAAAATTACTTGTTCATGTTTGGTTGAACCAAAAAATTTCGTGTAATCAGCAATAGTTTCCACTAGGGGTGGCATTTCGTGTCAACAGGTTTTGTTTGTGTAGGGTTGAGGTATGACAGGAACATGAATACACTTAACATGAATATGACATGAATAAAGATTCGTGTCAAAACCATTTACACAAACACAACTCGTTTATTTTGCTGGTTGACACAACACAACACAAATAAATCGCAAATCTCAAAGTGTCTCGTTTATTACATGGGTTGACACGACACGATATGAATAACCTATGCACTGAACATTGCGTTGACCAATGTCATGTTGACATTACATGACACAAATAACCTATGTACTGAACATTGGTTTCACTAATGTTTGTTGACAGGATACGAATAACCTAAAAGAAGATTAACACGAGCGGTGGGTCAATGTCGTATTTGTAGGTTGACATGCAACACAACATGAATTTGAAAACAAGTTGACTCAAACATGAACTTCTTGTGTCGTGTTCAAAATTGTCACCCTTTCGTCTAAACTCGAAATGCTCGAAAATCCAAAAGCAAGAAAGTTTCTATCTATCACTGAATGTACAAGAAAAATCAACCGAAAAAACACCCTCCAAGGATTCCAAAGCTGCTTCTTGAAAATTTCAAGGTAATAGAAAATCTCTGCTATTGAATTTCAGAGCACAAAATTGCAGCAAAGAATCTTTAAAGAGTGAGTCTGCTTTAGAGAGAGAAAGTGATGGATGGGTTTGAAATTGATCTTTTGAAAATTCTGATATAATGTAAACATTGCTCACAAATAGACATAGTACAAATGTCGGCATTGAAGTTAATTACCAATGCAGGGTTAAAAAAAGGGCGAATTCCGGTGCACTAGGCTCCCTGACTTGAGAGGGTATAAGTGAAGGTCGATTGTATGCGGCCTTACCCTTGCATTTTGCAAAGATGTTATTTCTAGACTCGAATTCATGACTGTAACCTTTCGATCACAAGGAGCAAGTTTACTGCTGCTCCAAGGCTCGCTCTCACAATAGTACGGGCCACAACACATATGGGGGTTCTAGAAGCAAATTTTTGTTGGACAACTGACTATACACGATAAACGCTAACAAATTGATTAGTTCTGATAATCAGCTTCAAGAAGACTACAGTCTGTCCTATTGTCTGAAAGTGGCTTCTCAGCATATGTTGTATAGAAATTGAAGTGGATTCTGAAAACATTTTATGTTAACCTATTTTTCAATTCAACTGCAGGTAACAAACAAATTATATACTTCACCTGATGTTGGTTGTTTTCAAAAATACTTCTAGATATGAATGTTTTAGGCCTGTCCTCAGACAATCTTCTTTTTTTCTTTTTACTTAAGAGGACTCTTGGAAGGGAGAACTGTTTTCAACAAGTGAACATGATGTCTATGAATAATTCTTAATTGTCCATTGAGAAGTTTCTCCTTTTATCAGCTGGTTTTGATTAAATACAAACTTTTGTTACAGGATTATACTGTCCTTTGTTTGACTGTATACCAGTACGATGGCGACTACGGCACCATTGGACGTGAGTATACAACTGCCTGTCGTACCTGAAACCAAATCACATTTCCTCCCCCCCTCCTCTTTTCCCATTTTTAGTGATTTCTATTTCTTCCTAAGCTTTCTCTCCAAGAGACATGCATATGGTAGCAGATGCATGTAACTATTGTTAACATGCTTATGCACTTGCACACTTGTGTTGTCTGAGAATGATTATTGGACATTCTTGTTTCAGAAAACTTCCTGACGGGCTATCGTGTGGTCTTTGATAGGGAGAATCTACGGCTTGGCTGGTCTAGATCCAATTGTAAGTCCTCCTTTCACTACAGCTTTATAATTAGCTTCTGTTTATGAATATATTCTTGATGCTAATCACTCAGAAAATGCAGGTCAAGGTAACATGGGAGATAGAGCAAATTCCACATCAACGTCCAGTAGTGGATCACCAAACCCGTTACCAGCCAATCAGCAGCAGAGTGTCCCTAAAACACGTGCTGTACCACCTGCTGTTGCTGGACAAACTTCTCCCAAACCCTCTGCAGCGACACTTAGACTTACCTCTGGGCTTTTATTAAGTTCATTTTCACTGATATGTCACCTTTTTTTCTGGTTATCTTGTCAAGTCTATCTAATCTACTTGTAAATTTCTCTACTATCCAAACTCAGACTTTTGTGGGGCGTTTTTACTTTTTCAGTTTTGTAGGCTGTTGTTGTATCTATTGGGTTTAGTGGAGATATTTTCTTTTTTTCAATATATTCTTTTGGTTTGTAGGCCTTTTAAATTTTCTTTACTATGTATTATTCTATTCTGTTGGTGCAATCCAAGCTATTTGATTAAATCTATAGGTTGAATTATTTCCTGGGAATTATTTTTAAAGAAAAATAAATATGGTTAACTCCAGGGAGGGAAAGGAACTGGGATTTTGGTGCCAAATGAACAATAAAAGGTGTCATTTTTTTATTTCTTATTTTATTTTTCCTTTTTTGGTCTATGATTGTGTTGATTACATACCTTTTCTTTTCATTCACTTTTCGTTGATTTCGGATCATGTTTCGTTTATAATCGAGAGTAATTAGCACTTGGTCGGTGTATATGCATGTTACCTAATATGAACGTGATAATATAAAAATTGCAAATAAGTAATTATATAACAAATCATCCTCAAGCTATTTAGTATTTAAATCTAGAAAATATAGTATTATTACAAACAATTTAGTTATTTCTATATAGTATCATTATATTCAGTCAGAATTCATTTTAGCATTTAATACATGTATAGCTTCGTATTAACTGTTTTTTTTAATCATATATGGCATTCAATTATTCAGTTGGATAAATATCAAATCTGAGAATGTTTTTGATGGGGTAAAGTACAAAAATTATTAATAAACGTGAATTTGATTATTTTAAAGTAAAAAGTAAAGAGTTATAATCTTGGATTGAAAAAATTAGCAAGTAAATTTTAACAAGTTTGTTCTAAATCAGTTTGAAAATATCAATAAAGAGCAGTTTCAAAAACCAAGTTTCTAAGACACAAAGGTTTAGAACTGGTTTGAAAACCAGTTTAATTCTGAACTGGTTTCAAAATTCAAACTGATTTCTAAATAATTCAGTTCAAGAGCTGAATTAAACAAACCAATTCAATTCGGTTCAATTAGAAAAGTAGTTTGGTTGTTAGTTAACCATACCCAACCACGAAGTTTCTAAGACACAATGCATGTTAGCCTCTTTGCCATTCCGTGAGTTTCAATAAAGAAGAAGGCTCATTTCACTGCTAACAGAATATTCATCTCCTAATGTCAACACAAAAATACTTCAACTTCGAAGTTAAAAAATAATAAAAAATTGCATGTAGCATGAGCAAGCTAAATTAAATTTGGTATTACTTGAAAAATGAATTTTGTTTACTATTCTATAAGAATCCGTATTTTTATTGAAACATAGGAAAATAACAAAGGACACATGCACACAAACCTAATATCCTTTTTATGAACTTCTTTTTATATAGGCCCATCAACTTATACCAGAATAAGAGCATGTTTGGATGAGCTTTTTTTTTATTCAAAAGCTGCTTTTTTTAAGAAAAAAAAAGTCCTTTTTCGAAAAATGTCTGTTTGGATGCCTGTTTTAAAAAAAAGACAGAAGTCATAAAAAAGCTAAAAACTTACTTTTTTCAAAAGCTAAAAATTTTAACTTTAAAAAAAAACAGAAGTCAAAAGTCAAATAATTTTTTCAAAAATCAAATATTTTTTTTAAAATCTAAATAGCTGTAACTTTTATAGAAAGTACTTTTAAAATAAAGAAGTGATAAAAAGGACTTTATTAAAAAGTCCATACAAACGCAGCCTAAGTCTTCCATTCATTATTAGTTTTGATTGCACCTGCATCTAATCCAGTGGCGGACCCATTCAATTGCAACTGATCACAAGTGCAGACAAATTTTTTTTTTTCGTCATTTTAACGCATATTGACTTATGTTGTCTCTTTAACTGGCAATTCATTTTTTTTGTCACTTTAACGCACAATTGGCACTTGCGGTTACATTGGCTTATGTATAACTAGCAATTATTATTATTATTCGTCACTTTACAATTCAACTTTCCTCCCTAGAAAAGGCATAACAAGAGAGGAAATGGTGACCCTTTTGGATGCACATACTATATTGCATACAGTCACTTCTTTTCTACTAGACTTGGTGGAGTTCCTAACTAGTGACAGACCTACTATTGCGCACTTGACCGCAAGTGACCGTAATTTTTTTATTTTTTATTTTTAATGCATTTAAAACTTTCTTTAATAATCTAAAATTTGATTTTTTTAATTAAATAGATTTTTGAAAAAGGCTTGGATTAACTTATATAATAAATAGATCTATACTGGGCAAGGCCATAATTTTTGACATGTTATCTAGTCTATTCCCACTCCTAATCATGTTCAACTTATAAACCATATATGCATTTCTTACAATGAATACTTAATTCATGATGTGAAAAATATAATCGATTTATGATATTGAAAATAATTATTTCAATGGGTATTTAAGTGTAGACAAGCAAGATTTTATTTATTGAATATAAATTATTCATTAAAAAATTTAATTACCATAAAATTAATCTTAAGGCCATGGCACAACCGATAAGTTGGTCTGATCCAAATAGGTGGATTTCAGTAAAATTATGTATAATATTTTAGAAGAAATATTGTAAAATGATTTTTTTTTAAAGTAAGAATGTATAGTATATTTATCTCTAAAATTTGATGGATTAAGATGACAAACTTTAGATTAAATTAATAATAGGCATGTTCTTACTTACTCACTTCACATAAAAATTTACTTTAGATGTCCCTGTCAAATATTTTGAGTGGATAATTTTTTAAACCATTATAATGAAACAAAAAAATAATTGCATTAAATGAATGAAGTTCAACTAGAGTGCGTAGTAATTTGATATGCCAAACACTTCGAATTGCAAAGAACACATACATATATGAAGACTACCCTACCTATTCAATGAACCAAAATATGTTCCGAACTAATGGTTCACTTTGTTTCATTTGCTTTCATTGTGCTCTATTCATTAACATTAAACAAAGAAATGACCCCAAAGCAACTGAGACCCTTTCCTTTATAAACTCATCAATCTCTCCGCCTCCCTCCCTTTTCTCCTCTCACCCATTTTTAACCATTCCCTTCCCTCTCTCTCCTATCCAACGGTTCCTTCTTTTAAGGTTCTTCATGCATGTCTCCATATATTATAATTTTTCTGTTATTCTGATTCAAAAAAAGAGAGGGCATTTTAGATTTCCTCCTACAGATTCTGCATTTCCTTTTTTTGCATGCGTACATACATACTTTACACTTGATAGATAATAAATCATCGAGATGGGTCGTGTTAAACTTGAAATAAAAAGAATAGAAAACACCACCAATCGACAAGTTACATTCTCAAAGCGTAGAAATGGCCTCATCAAGAAAGCTTACGAGTTATCTATCCTATGTGACATTGATATTGCCCTTATTATGTTTTCTCCTTCAGGACGTCTCAGCCACTTTTCTGGCAAAAGAAGGTACCCTCTTGATCTTATACATGTATATATATTCCTGTTAATTTGTTTCCATTGCAAATGAAAATTCAATTTATTTTGCTATCATTTGTTTGTTAATTATAATGATATGTATGATGTATTAATTATTGGGCATTGTCTTTCCCTTCAAATATGAAACATGTCTCCTCCTTCCTCCTTTATCAATATTTCTTGAATACGACAGTGATTGCATTGGATCGATTTAGAGAAAGTTGAGATCATTCCTTCTTCATTTTCTTCACATAATTCTCACCTCTAAAGGGTTATGAACTATATATAACGAATGCAATTAATGACTTGTCACATTATTTTCCTTTTAATTTGGAAGATAAATTTTTTTAATTGAACAAAAGATGGCTGTCAACATTTTCTGTGGAGAGAAAAAATCAACATCAGTATCCAAAAAATAAAAAAATTCAATACCATGTTACTCTATTCCTTTAAGAAGCAAAATCTTCCCCTAAATTTCTATATCACCATTACTTGGGATTTATGATCGCTATTGTTCCTGTATATATTCGCTTCCCACCAAGGTCTTATTTATACTTTAGATGCAATGGCGCGAAGGTAGACCAAAAGTTATGTATGTCATAGTTTCGTAGAGTTGTAGATTTTCTTTTGGGCAGTTTGATTGTTTATGTTCCTACTTTTTTAGCGGATTGAACATGTTTGTGCCCCGAGAATTAGGATCTTGACCAAGATATGTTGTAGAATCTTTGCCTTAAAATCGTTGGCCTTAAAATTTGTTTTAAAGCAGCACCAAATTAATGTGCCAAAAAGAAGATTTTCAAAGTTGTGACCGAATAATGATTATTCTTTTAAAAGAAGGAACTGCTTATGCAAAATTTTAAAACTACACCGATCAAATAGTTTTTTTTTTAATCCATAACCTTGAGATGTATTGTTTGTGTTAATTGACATATAGTGTCGCATGAACTTCAACCTGGTTTACTTATATAATTTAGGCCTTTTGGATATGGTTTTAAACTCTCCTAAGTGTATGCTTTTAAATTCCTTTTTCGCAACCCATCCTGATTAGTTATTAGTTATTACCATTTATTATTATTATTATTATTATTATTATTATTTAGTTTTAAATTTTGGGTCTGCTGATGATGAGATCCATTATATAATGAGCCATAATGATATTGTTATTTTTGTGGTAATCAGGATTGAGGATGTTTTTACACGTTACATTAATCTTCCTGACCAAGAAAGAGATAAGTATGTTCAGAACATGTAACTTGATTTCGCATGAGTTATGGTCCTTCTAAATTTCTGTTCATACTCGGCTTTTTAATTTGATTATTTATAGTAATTTGTTTCTTGTAGCGCTGTAAGTTTTCCTGAGCAACCCTACCGCAGGTATACTCTCTTTTCTCTGCCTTCTTTTACTTTTTCTTTAGTTCCTTTATTTGCTGCTTTCACGAGCAAATTAACTATTGCACTTAACTAATTTCCATTTCTTTGTTTTATTTATTTATTTTTGCAGGGGTATTCAAAACAAAGAGGTATTTTCACTAACTATATTTATATAAAGATTAAACCCTTTCCAGAAAATATGAAAATTAAGAGAAAAATAAATCTTATGTTGTAAGAAAATTCTAATCTCATGTCATAGATACATTAACCGTGGGATTCACCTATTTAAAAAATAAGTAGCACACCTTTTTATAGTATGTGTAGTAAGAATTTATTTTTTCATGCAACGTGAGAAAAACAAACCCCGAGAATTAATTACTTGAAAATTTACGACAATATTTAAAGCATGAATGATTAAATATACTGTCCTAGCTATCTATGAATTTTTATAGGAATATACAAGATCTTCAAATTAAAATACGGAGTGGTTCCTGTAGTACGAATCTGAATATTTTATAAATGTTTGGGGCATTTTGCAGTATTTGCTTAGGACCCTTCAACAACTGAGGAGTGAAAATGACATAGCTCTTCAGCTAGCCAAGTTCGTAAATATGTCAAATATTTATTTTTTTGAATTATTTTCTCAAAGAATTTCGGATGATCTAATAGTGCTAAATTTTTGTTTTTCCTTTCCTACCGTTTCATCCCCTGCTTCAAAAAAGTCCGGGAGACATTAACTCTGAGATTGAGGTAAGCAAACTATGCTATATTCTATATTTAAATGAAGAGTTATAGTTACTACATCTTTTTGTTACTACTTGTTATTACTAAATCGTAACCGTTGATTTTCGTCAATCTAACGGTTATAATTTATTGGGTCATACTTATTATTTAATTATTAATTTCAAACAAATTATAACCGTTAGATTGACGGAAATCAATGGTTATGATTTAGTAATAACAAGTAGTAACAAAAAGAGGTAGTAATTATAACCTTCCCCATATTTAAAACTAGGGTAAAGCTATCATCATGTAACAGAATCTAAACAATTTTTCCTACTGAAACAAAAATGTATGTGAGTCCCGTACATGTAATAAAAACAAAAAATAAAAAATATTGGTGCGCAAACCAATGAATCAGTAGGTAAAATTTTTTATATCGTGTTAATTGTTACATGATATTCGTTTTCCCCTTAAAACTAAGTATAAGCCTTTTAAAGATAAGAGTATTTATCATGTGAGATAAGACTATTTATTTTTATTATTGTTGCTGTCATCTTCTTTGTCGTGATCATGAAAATCTCTTGTTTATTAGGAACTCCAACAAGAAGTTAGTAGGTTACAGCAACAACTTCAAATGGCCGAGGAGCAGATAAGGTTCCTTGAAAATAATTTGATGCTTTATTTATTTATTTATAATATAACTGTCCCACGTATTTGTTTATTTTATTTTTTCCATTAATGGTATTAATGTTGTGAGGATGAACACAGGATATATGAACCCGACCCATTAAAGATGACATCTATGGGGGAGCTCGAAGCCAGCGAAAAGCACCTGGTAGATACCTTAACACGTGTCATACAGAGAAAGGTTTGATAATAATCTATTACTCTATTTTTTTTTTTCTTTGTCGTGTGATATATTATTTGAAAAACTTTTGTGGTTGCAGGAATATATGTTGAGCAATCATCTATCTTCGTATGATCCATCTGGTATTCAGGTAACTAAATGCAATTATTAATAACGATGAATCAATATATATATATATATATATATATATATATATATATATATATCAGAATTTATATTTTGTAATAAGAATTTATATATACGCTTGTTATTTAAAATTAATTAGATAAATAAATAATAAAAAAAAACTGTAGCAGGGGATGCCGACAACTTTCGAGAATGTAGGTTGGTTGCAGGATGGTAGTCAGAACCATTCCCAGATGTTTGATACATCCGCTCCTTTGGATCATCTCAGGTTTCAATTTCATGTTTTTTATTTATTTAATTATTTATGATTGATGATTAATTCCTTTAAGAAAATTACAAACATTTTTCTTATGCACAAATATTTGATCTTTGTTTTTGTTTTTGTTTTTTTCTTTTTTCTGTAAATGAATATAATAAAAGTAATGAAATGTTCAGGGATTTGTCGTCCACCGTGTACGGTTCATTTTCACATGGGACGAGTTCGAATGCTGATCCACGAGGCATGGGAGAGTGTCACGTGACAAATCCAAGCGATGGGAACCTCGAAGCATGGCCTCAAGGATACACATTGTATCCTCATCATATTCAACATGACATGATGGGACATGACATGCCAGATATGATGCCACATGGGCAGGTGAATATCCCAATCACTGCCTCACACGTGGAACCGCCCAAGAATGAATCTGCAGAATATGATTGTAAACAACATCATCATCAGCTTAATACTCAATGACACATACTAAATGGCTAATGCTATGAGGAATGAGAAGCCAAGCCCCATTCTTAAATACTTTTGTTATAAATATGAAGCCAGCCAGCTGCTAAATGTCATTTTAGCTGGGTATGTGTAAGATTAGGTAAATGATGATAATGTGCATAGAAATTGTACTTGTGATGGTACTTGTATCACCAAGAAAAAAGAAAAAAAAAAATAGAATAGCTTGAAAGAAACAGCAAACAATTTTTTTCTTTTCTTTTTTTGTTCTTTTAGCATTATAGGAACTTACCAATTTTGAGTTAGTGTGATATAAACGGGCGTTCTCCATTATGCCTCAACACAATTTGTCCAACGACACATGTAGCTAGCTGTTATTAGGCAATTAAGGTCTCAAAGGCATGCTAGGATTGGAGCTAGCTTCATGCAATATGGTTCACAAAGATTCCATGAGTGTAGGTTTGCTTCAAAATGATGGGTTCTCAACTCAAAGAGGCGTGACTATGAAAAGGAAATTGTAATGCTAGAGCTGTTGAGATATATAGTCCCACATTGGTTGTATGTGCAACTAATGTGGTCTTTATAAGACCTTGGGCACTCCCACCTTTTGAGCTAGCTTTTAGGGTGATGACCTCAAGGTTTTTAACATGGTATCAGAGCCTCGCTGCCCCCCACTTTCTCTTGTGGCGTTTCTTAGCACAGGTAGGCTGAGTCTGTTGCATTGTCCACTCTTCAAGCCCAATGGGCTCTCGTGTGAGGGGGCGTGTTGAGATATATAGTTCCACATTGGTTGTATGTGCAACTAATGTGGTCTTTATAAGACCTTGGGCACTCCCACCCTTTGAGCTAGCTTTTGGGGTGGTTACCTCAAGGTTTTTAACAAAAGCTTCCTCACTTTTTTTAACATGTCCAAAAACTATAGTTTTTGGGACTCATCTAAATCAGAAGCTATTAATGCTAGGTAGCGTCTCATTAGCAAGGAAGCACGGACACTTGTAAAAACAGGAAGAGTCGGGTCCGACACGCTCCGACACGGCGACACGCTCCGACACGGTGTCGGACACGCGGTTGACTTTTTCCGACACGTTGACTATTTCGACACGCGAATTTGACCGTGTCCGACACGGTCAAATGGCATTTTCGTAATTTTTTTTTAATTTTTTTTTTTAAATTTTTTAATTTTTTTTTTTAAGTTAAAATATATTAATAAAGCTTCCACCTGATCATATCAATTTTTTCTTTTGTCTCTCTTCCCCTTAAGTAGATAAGAGATCATCTCAGTATCATTGTTGTCAATTCCTATTACGCTCTTGTTGTATCTTCTTCTCTCTGATCTCTCTCTAATATGATTTGATCTCTCTATCTGATATATCTCTCTCTTATCCCAGTTCTTATTTTTTTTATTAAAGATTCCATCTTTATAACGTGTTGATGAGTATTATTAATTTAGTTTCATTTTTTTGTTAAATTATTAAATATTAAATGAAATATACACTATATAAATTAAAAATATTATTTAATATTAAAACGTGTCCCAGCGTGTCGAAATCCATAATTTTTTAGGATTGACGTGTCGGAGTGTCGTGTCGTGTCGTGTCACGTGTCGCGTGTCGTATCAGTGCTACATAGCTCATTAGAGCCTAAAAACACAGTTTAGGGTATTTGGTAAGGGCTAAATTTCTAACTTAGGCAGCTCGAGAATCGATGGAAAAGGTGAGGATGAAAACAAGGTTTTGGTTGGACCTTGGGATACCACCTTTCCACATTCATTAGATGAATTAATCTAATAAAGAATTTATTTTCCTAATGACAAATTGACATCAACAGCAGCATTAAAATAATTCAAGCATGCAAATAATGGATCGTCACTACTCAGACATATTGAGTCATGAACCAAACTATCAATCAAATTCAATTTATGTACCTTGTTATTATAATAATTAGGAACCCGTTTACTGAAATGAAACACATTAAGCTCAATAGCCACATTGTCAAATGATAGTTTCAAGACACCACTTCCACAGTTAACCAATGCATTATATGTAGCTAAGAACGAGGGACCTAAAATGACATAAATAAGGGTACAAGGGTAATAAATAGGCTTAGTATCAAGCTTTAAAAAATCAATAGAAAAGTAAATGTTCTCAATTTTTATGAAAAATCATCAACAATGTCTCTAGGATATATAATACATCTATCAGCTATTTTAAGAGCCATCTTAGAGTCTGTTTGGATCCTCTTATTTTTAAGCTAAAAACTTCTTATAAGTTAAAGCTAAAAAGAAGAAGCTAAAAGGTGTTTGGTAATTACATAAAAATTTAACTTAAAAAGTACTTAAAAGCACATGTTTCAAGAAAATTATCTCTCTCTTTCTATCTTTATAACTCTCAATTCTAAAAAAAAGCACACAATTCAAGAAAAACAGATAAGAGCTTAAAAAAAAACTCTTCCTAGGAACTTTTAGTTTTCAACTTTTTTGTTCATTATAAAAAAAAGAACTTTTCATTATAAGAGTTTTTCCCAAAATCTGTTTGGCCTAGCTTATGCATATAGAGAATCCAAACAGACACTTAGTTGGTTTCCAACTCCCGAGACCCATCTGCAAGCAAATAGAATAAGGCAATCAATTAACACCGGCACCTAGATCTATCTATGGTCATTATATAAATATTTAACATGATATTCATTGAGAATGTAGTTCCAAAATTTAGTAGTCACAATGAGAGAAGGAAGAGAATGTATAGGGGACGTAGGGAAGGGAAACGAGAGTAGAGAGAGAGAGAGAGGTAGTGTTGTTGGGGGGGGGGGGGGGGGGGGGGGGGTGGAATTTCTGTGCCTTTCTTTATAACTTCCATCACTATTATACAATTTCCTAACCAGGTTTGTTATAACTAACTTGCAATTGAAAGAAAATAGTAAATGCATTTTAAGAGAAATACTAAAAAGGGAGGGTTATATTCACAAATTTTTTTGTTTACAAATTACAATATGTACTCCCAGAAGTATATAGTATAGTACATAATGTAATTTACAAAAATTTATAAACGGATGCTTCCTCATATTAATATGATAAACTGGTAATATCAATTGTGATTGCAGCTGCTGAGTTTGGACTGGGCTTTCATCTTGGCCTAATGCAGCTGATAGGCATCCCAGTACTTAGACCAGCATTTGCAAAAGATACCTCTTCCAATGGATCGGATGACAAACCATACTAAGAGCACTAACATTACATCTCAACTCAACTTTTATATAATTCACATTTGTTTTATGTCTAATCAACGTGGGATTGAGACTTCACACCATTCATACTTGAATTCTATTTCTAATAGTTCAGTCAAGGAGGCCTTTTGTGGAACAAGACTTTTTTTTATATAGTAGATTCTTCAAAATTTGAGCATATATAAGCACCTGTCTAATAGCATCACGAAAAGACAAAGTAATTTGCACCTGTTTAAAAATTTGTAAAATATCACTTGACTTCCTAGTGTCGGGGTTTACTAATCTAAGAGGAAAAGGGACCTTAGTCACATACTCTCGATCCCTATCTTCAAACTCTACAACTTTACACTATCCTCGTATAAACTATTCTTATCTATACAACTACTGGCTTTTTAACTTTTTATCATCCCTCTCAAACTCTACAATACGATTATCTATTTGCTTACCAGAATAAAGGGTGGTGATAGACTAAACCTGTTTGCATTTTTTAATGAAGCTAGATGTTTCCCGAACTGTATACAGTCGCCTCTCATCCTGATGTCCTCCAAACATGTCGTGACAATATTAATATTCTCAATAAGGTAATCACCCCCTAATGTTTCAACAAAAATATGTAACATATTTCTATTAAATTCACTAAGATGAAATCATTGCATTAGATCCTTGTCACCATTGATTATAATCCTTAATTCATCTCAAAGTAACCCTTCATATACTTATTTTGGTTTCACAACCCAACAGTACGGTTGAGTGCACATCCCCATCAGGGGCTAAAGCAATAGATATCTAGAACAACATCCTGAATGAATCCTCATCCATAACCAGTAAATAAAAATGCATATCAAGCCTCCTCCATTTGCCATAAGACCATGAAAGTTGAAACACGAACAAAAGATATATTGTTTTCATCCTCAGACTGAAAATAAGAACTTTAGTTCTTCAAACAACACTATTAATATATTTCTTTCGGGGAAAAAGTGCCCAAAAGGCCAAAACCAGAGGCATGCACATATGAACAGTATCTTTTTCAAATAAATTAAATTTTCACACGGAATGAACAATGAACAAATTAACAATCAGAATGAAAAGTGCATGGAATTCTCAAGGGCGGATGAATCAAATGGTGTCAACTCAAATATTCGTTGAGTCATTATTATTATTCAATCAATTCTCAAAGATAGCATGTCCTTTTAGTTTTCATTACGAGTACACTAGATGAGACCTACCTTACTTATTTCTATCCTACACACCGAACTTCATATTCGGAGCAGTATTTTATCATTTTAGAAATATTACTTGCATAACCTAATTTTGGTGTAACATCTTCACCAATTGTTGCACGGGTTTATTTTTCGAAAGTACACCATTTCCACACCAGCAAATTTGGTTAATAATGATTCAATTATTGGTTAATAAGGTATACTATAGGTGTGCAATTAGACCTTCCAACTTGTAAGATTGTGTAAATTATATATTCACAAATTTTTAAAGTAGTTAATGAAATTTTAAATGACAAGAAAAGAATATTGAATTATTTGGCCAGTAAAAAAAATGGGTATACTGCTGTAGTGCGAATTTATGTTATATGCTCAATAAATAATGCAAAAAACTTTAGATGACACATTATTCTAATGTCAACTAGGAGAACGCACAATTAAGATCGTGGGGTTTAATCACATTTTAAGCACTAGTCACTGCAAACATAACAGTGGTAAAAAAAAAAAACCAAAAAAATAAGCATTGTATACACAACTCAAGGTAACAAATACTGCTTCAGCTGTTCAGCAACAGGGAAAACAATGCGTAAGGAATCCAGGTTGCACAACTAAGATAGTTCAACCCTCAAAATTGCTCCCAGGCAAGAAGAGTCAATTGGATTAAAGCATAGACATGAACATGCCCACTCTATCCTGTGTGAGTCTTGACCCCTTGGGCATAGAAACTCTAATACTATGCTAAATACCAATCTCCTAAACGCTTAAATTATCATGTGGAGGCTTATTAATGCCTTTATTATATCTCTAACAGTTTCTACTAGCAAAATCAATCTAGAAACCAGTAAGTGGTATAGACTATTTCCGTAAGTAGTTCATGCACACTAAAAAAGGTACATAGCAGGTACCCCTGAATACGACTGAATCTGTCAACAATATCTCAAGCTTAGTTCAAGGAGGTGCAATATGAACTAAATATTGAAGTTAACTAAACTTCCCAACTATATGGAAATGCTAATATCAGAGAAGAAATTTATCATTAGATAGATAATAAATTGACGTTCTAACTGCTCATAATTTAGGGTTTTTAATGCGAAATAGATCCTCCCTGGCCATATATAGAAACAATTCTTTTCATTGTTTCCTTTACCAAAGGGGCAAACTTTATATTTCCGAAATATATTGCTACGGAAAAAGATTTTGACAAAAAATAAAATAAAATAAATCTATCACAAAGATAATAAAATCTAATAGATGAACCCCACCACAGTACAAGCATGAATAAAAATACTTAATTTACAATAAAATTATTCAAAGCATGACCATAAACAATTTTTTGAGCCAATGAAAAGAAACCTCAATAACTTGAGTTATCAAACACCCATGGCTCATGCACAAACAGCTCCCAACCATTCATTTGGACTGTTCCTGCTGCAATATCCTCAGCACGTTTCCTGGATGCTTCAGCTTTTCTGGCTGATGCAGCAGCATCCTGCAAAAAGGAATACAGACACTATCAATTTGGAGACTCTGTATAGGATTAAATTGATGATTCCATGCAATCGAACAAAATTTCTCAAACAAGTAGCTTAAAAGTGCTTCAATCTGTTTGACTGAGGCCATTTAACAACTAGCAGTTCAATAAAGCGGTTGCAACACTATCCCTAGTAAATGACTAGGCCATTTAATTACTCAATCCTGATTTCAACATGGCAAAATCTTTGCAGTTGCCAAAAATTTTGCATGTAAATAAAGCCCTCCCCCCCCCCCCCCCCCCCCCCCCCCCCTCTCCAACCTCCTCTTCCCACTCTCATTATAAAAAGTTGAAGAATAAAATAAACTGTTAAAGCAGGAGACCTGTGCCTTCCGCATTGAATACATCTATATTCTTGGTTCTTTGCTTTTCTGTTTTCTTCACTTTGGTAATTATCAAATGCAACCACTAAGTTTAGAATATATGATCTCCTCTGCATCCTTCTATTTTAAGGGAGACAAGAGAGCTACTAAGAACTAAAATCAATGACATGTGCCAGCATATCTAAGAGAAATCTAATTAATCCAGGAAGCAATCAGGACCATCAATCTGTTTAATTAGTGCAGCTTGCTTGTTAAATTAGAAAGTGGCAGGAGGCAGGGCTAATGTTCTTCCTTCCAGGTTACACCAAAAATTAGAAAGGAAAAGGAAATAAAAAAAAATAAAACTCCCTTATTGCATTTTGGCGTTCAATCAACAACACAAGATAGCTAACCAATTTTGTGTTTAAACTACCCCAGATCATGCTGCTAAAGTTTTAATCTTCACAAACTACCCTTGTTCCTTATTAGCCCAAAGAATTAATCCCCACGTTAACATATAAGATGAAAAGGTCTTCTTTTCTTAATTCTAAACTTCATTACAATCATAATTTTGAAAATTTCTTCTTTTAAGTATATTACTCATTAAATTATGAAAAAAATATAAAATTTCTCAAATTTCTAATTGCCCGTGAAGTTAAAATGTTGTAAAATCATATAACATCCTACCCATTATAAAAAAGTGTACAAGAAAACAGAATTCAAACGCAATAAACAAGGAAAGAAAAAAAAAACCCTAACTAAGTAATAGAAAAAGCGAGAGAAGGAAAAACCTTCTGGCGCTTCCATGAGAGGAACTGATCCTGTGTGAGAGTAGTGGTAGAAGGTCTTGGCCTCTCTTCTGCGTGCTTTTCCTGCGCTTCAGTTTCTGCTCCCATCGTTCTGTTTCCGACCAAACCACCAGGTACTGAACAAGACAAGGGTACAAGGTATGACGACGCCTTCAACGATGTGTCGTTTATTGGATTGTTATTTATAAAATATTGAAAAGAAAACGTTGCCCATTTTACCAATTTTGTTGGCTACCAGAATATTTCATTTAACAACTAGTTTAATTTTAGTTAACATAAGCACGTGTTCGTCAAAAAATAAAAAATAAAAAATTTAGGGATTTTTTTTTGGAGAATTTTAAGGGGTTTATTTTAACATACATATTTGATTTTAATTTAAATGTTGATGGAATATCTATTTGAGTGTTCTCAAATATTAGTGCATTCAGCATTGTATAAGTAATATGATTTTTTAGAGGAAGGATTAACGTGCATCTTATAAGAATAGTAAATTTTATATTAAATATTAATTATTGATTTAATTATACCTAACGACTTATTAATTACATGAACCAATCGAAGAAGAATCAATAACTAATTTTGGCGGGTATAAAATAATTTTGTTCCAATTTTTTATTTTCTTCCATGTTTAGACCGAATTTCCTTTTGCCACGAGACATCAACTCACCCAACTCCTTGTTCATTTTAAATAAATATTATACTTAATTTACTTATTAATAAAGTTAATTATATATCAAATGATGTAGCTCAGTTGACGCATAGGAGCTGAGCAGATAAATGTGAAAGCATGTGTTCGATCTTTTTTAGTACCATATTTTGGGATTTAAAGTCTTAATTCTGGACTTGTCTTGAACAGGATGACCTCCGTGAAGGATACATGTGGTTTATTCAAAAATAAATAAATATTAATTATATTGATTTATATTTATTAGTTTAATACCCTTAGTCCAATATTATTACCTTTTTTATGTATTTTATTTATTTATATCATGTAAGAGATTAATTTAAAAATTGTAATTAATTATTTTATAAAATTTAATTTAAAAATTTGTAGTGCAAGTAGAGCAAAAAAAGGTACGGGCTATACTGGTTTTTTATAAGGGAAATTTAAAATTTTGTTCCTAAGAATCCAAGTAGGTACTCAACTCGATTTATTCCATTCCCGAATCTATTACTACTATAATTATGAATTATATCTAAATCTTTATTTGAATTACATTTAAGTGGCCATACAAATAAACATCACTCACTTCCAAAATTGAGAAATTATAGCAATAAGGTAGTTTATGACACCCCATAGTGCATGGTATATCCCTCCCCCTCTGGTGCAGCATGGCACAATCCCATTTGGAATAGCTGACCAGCTTGTGTAGGAGAAGATAATATCACACAAGTTTATGTGCTTAAATATGCAATTCAGCATTAACATTTTAACAAAACCCACAACCTATGCAATAAAATTTAAAGATAGCATGGCACAGAGACACGTGATATCAAGTGCTAGCAAATTTAGGAGAGACATGCATCTATGGCTTCTCCAACAGTAAGGAAAATCCATTCTTTTCCAATTTTGTCAACAAAGTGTGCAAGCTTAAGCTTGTGAATTACTAGCCACCTTGGGTTGACCATAGCTAACTGTTAAAAACACATAGCACAAGTGTTAGATCTTATAACTTTGGACAACTACATATAAAACATTGTTACTTCCAAAGAATATAGATTCATGGTGGCCTCACTTGTACGCCACGTGAAAGCAACCTCTTGTGCAGTTCCTCTAGTGCTAGAATTCCGGAAGTATCAACATTCATTAGGTCTATTAAAGAGAATTTCAGAGGAACATTGCATAAGATCAAATTTATGAATGTTTAGGCGTCAAAATTCTGAGTTCTAAAAATGTAACAAAACTCACTTGTCATGTCTAGAACTATTGCTTGGACCCTTCCTTTGGTAGTTTCTTTAAGGTCATCTTCTTCCATGACCCACTTCAGTATTCTGGAACAAGTGAAAAAAATTCATACATGGTATTAATTTGTGCTAAAACCCTCTCTAAATCATTTTGTAAAGTGCTTGCCTTTCTCTGACAAAATTAGCATTTGCAAAGCAAAGTGAGCCAGAGCTTATGCGAATCACTATGATGCCTGGAGTGCTCATGGCCATGGGATATTGAGTAACATCGCAGAAGGCTTCAGTTCTTGGAACTCTACCTAGAACTTCTATTCCAGGTCGAATTGATTGTATCAGTATCTTTGCAAACGAGATTATCACCTGCACATTAAAAATTGATGTTATGATCACGTAATTGATTACTTTAAAATTCGGCTTTGTTCAAAAAGAAAAATTTATCTGGATTTCTAATTGAACCAATGTGATTGTAACTGCGCTTAATATCATAATGCAATGTTAACAAATCAGTTCTAGAACGAGGTGTTATAATGGGTCAAGTAAACAGGCTATATTCCTAACTAAAAAATGCTTGTAAATGTAAGACAAATGAGTGATGGAAAAATTCTTACATGCTCTAAATATACTATACAGTGATGTTTGGATGGTTCCAAAACTTAATTATACAAGTTATGAATGTCATGCCAAAATTGACCAGACTAACATACTCTGAAAGCTCGATATGTAAGGCAATTAAGGAGCTAGGAGTCAACCAAAATCAATACAAGTCTCATGTGCAAAATGTTAATAATTTTAGGTTACTGTCTGCTTGTAAGGATGCTACTTAGTATGCAATAAATGAAAAAAATTGAAAGCTGCCGATTACTTACTGCAACAAGAAGACCAATCTCTACGGATACAAACAAGACGCCCAAGAAAGCAGCAACACAGGCAAGAAAGTCTAATTTGTCAACCTTATAGATATAGCAAGCCTCACTTATGTCAATCAATCCAGGAAGTGCTGAGAGGATGATAGAAGCAAGGATAGCCATAGGGGTGTAATATAGGAGCCTTGTAAATAATTCGAGGGACAAAACCACCGTAATGGCCATCACAATATTTGATACTGCTGTTTGACATCCTGCACTGAAATTTACTGCAGTCCTTGAGAATGAACCTGCAAGTGTTCACCAGGAAACTATAAACAACTTTGATACACACCAAATACATAAAAGAAGTATTACAAATTAATTGCACAGTTATTAACAAAAGATATACCAGTTGCCACATAGCATGAAGTTAAAGATCCTGCTATGTTCATGAATCCCATTGATAACATTTCTTTGTTCCCATCAAGATGGTATCCCTTAATGGAAGCAAAAGATCGACCAACAGCTATTGCTTCCTGAATCAGAAGTTCAGATTGCTATCAAAATCACAGGAATCAGAACAGGGAAAAAGAAATAATAATTTGGAGAAAATTAGGAAATGAATTAACATACAGTGAGTGCAATAACTGCACAAATCAGTCCAATTTTAGCTGCTTGTCCAACATTTTGACCATGGAATTGCAACTGGTGAACTGAACTTGGATTCAGGCCTCCTTTGACGTGCTTTATTATATTAACCCCGTGTGTATCAGCTTTTGACAAATACACAATTAAAGTTGATAGTATAACTGATAGAAGTGGAGAAATAGCAGGCAACCAGAAAAGCTTTTTGTTTCTTCTGCCCTGAAATGAGAAACATTATAAAAAGTTCCCATTAGCCAGATATAGTTAAGAATTGGAATGTAAATACCAGATATTTCATTACTTACAATAAAACGAGTAATTAGAAGTAAAATCAAGAATGAGCACCCCAGGATCAAATTCAGAGGGGACCACTGTCAACGGAATAAACAAAGAATAATGTCAAATATCAACAAGAAGACCTATATAAATTCGATGGTTCAGATTTAAGAATAAGATTCTGTGTAATGTTTTTCTAAATGTAACTAAACTTTATTAGAACATGAATCAAATGGCAAAACCAACTCACTTTTTCTCCAGAAGTAATTTGATGATGTAATGATTTATAAACAGATGCCAACACTGATACTGCATCAGTTTTGGAGGTAAAGTGAGTAATTCCCAGCAATCCCTTGAGCTGCTGAAGACCAATAATAATGGCTGCGCCTGCCATGAATCCAACTAGGGCAGCATGTGAAAGAAAATCCACAAGAAAACCCAACCTGCAAATGTTGGAAGATAAACTAGTTAGTTTATGAGAAAAACTAAAACTTAACAAGAAATTTCACAAATAGATGAGGAAACAACCTGAAAACACCAAATGCAGTTTGAAAAACTCCAGCAAAGAAGGTCACAGTAAAGACGGTGTTTCTATAAGCATGGGGATTAGCAACAGGATCTTCCACTTTCTGAACCAGGGAGGATAACAGCATTGACACTACAGCTACAGGTCCAATTGCAATTTCTCTTGAGCTCCCCATCATAGCATAAATAAGAGGAGGAAGAACACTAGTATCTGAATGGAACAAAAACAAACCAATAGTGAAATTAGAAAGAATGGAGATTCACTAAAATGTTGAAACAAAAAAAGAAGGAAAAAAACTCATGCTTACACAGTCCATATTCAGGATCCACTTTTGCTAAATTAGCATATCCTATACTCTGCAACATTCAAATGAAAAATACAAGAATGAAGGTAAAAATCTGGGGGAATGTAACGTTTTAATTTTTCCTGCATTGCTCTGAAGACAGAAGTAAATCAAAGAAATGTTTGTGAATACCTGAGGTATGCTCAGGCTGGCAAGAGTTAAACCAGCTAACAGATCATCTTTAAACTTTGAGGCATTGTAATCTCTTAACCAACTAAGGATTGGAAATAAACCCTGCAAGAATGAGAAAGCATATCCATGGAAAGTTTTCTTCTTGGATGAGAAACAACAGAACTTGTTCCCATGAGGCAAAAGGGTCTCCTTGACTGAACTAAGTAGCTTCTTCCAGAGAGGTGGTGGATTGGGAGAATCCAGCACCCAATTGGACCTTTCTATTTGACCAGTATCCTCAGGGTGAAGGACACCTTGCACTCTCATACTGGAAGCTTCAGGGGGCACTGAACCCATGATTGTTTGAAGTGTTTGGTTGAACTCTTCTGAGTTGTACTTAACATAGAATCTTGTCAGTTGAATACCATAAACACCACTAATTTTGACATATTTGGATGATTGTCTGAAAGGGATAGCACAGAGCTTGATAGAAGCCTATGCTTAATGAGGGGTAGTTGTAGCACCACTTTGATTGGCTTATGTAGCAGAGCATCTATTCGTAGATAAGGGACAAATTAGCTTTCAGTATCTTGCCAATTCTCATTTCCGACATCATTTTGCATGTAATGGAAGGAGAATATAACCAATTTTATGTGGTTCCTCAATCTTCAACCCATAAAGCCAGTTATTATCAATGGGAAAGCAATCTAAATAAGAATTTCACGTGAATTTCAAATAATCACATTATGCTAGTCATTATTGTGAGCAGTGCAATATTGTGCAAGAAAGAGGATTTTCAATGCATTTTAGCTAAATAATTGATATTCGGTCAACAAGGCATTCAATGAATTCTCTCATGTTAAATTTTATGATGATTATGTGAAATTTTGGTGTCTATCTTTATTTTCATTAATAATAATTGAATTCCACTTATTTAATACATACGAAGAAAGAGATAGACACAAAAAAAATTTTATGATTAGATTGTGTGAAATTTTAATCTGAAAGGATCCACTCTCTTCATATCATATATTCATTCAACGGTGGACCTCATACTTTATTTGGGGTCACTGGAGCCACGTTGAGAGACCAATTGGGGCCTTGTATAATGACCCTAACTGGTAAATCTTAGTTAGAGATTTAATTTAAGGATTTAAATGCCATAATTAGATTCAGTGAGCGATTTCGAGTATTTTGACTGTAATCATGACTATGTTATGAACAGTTCGTTCTGCCGGAGAATTTACAGTTTTGTGAATTAACCGGTAGAGCTTAAAATGAGCAAAATAATTTTAGGAACATAATTTGAAAATTCTGATGACAAATATGAGTTCAGAACGAAAAATTGTATAGTCTGGCACTTTCCGTGAAAATCTCGTGAATAGTGTTTATACCGGGTATTTTGTACTGCTGTTTAAGCAACCGGTAGAGTCCAGAAATAAATAACTGATGAAATAAGAATAAGAAAGTCCAATATATGCCAAGCAAGTCAATATAGGCCCAAGAAAATGATAAGTTTATAAGTGTTAAGTTTCAGAATTTAATAAAGTACAGTTAGTGGTTCACAGTGCATTTCGTTAAAAACGGTGCAAAAACCATACTGTGAATTATAAATATTGTTCCTTAGAAAATAACAGTTCATGTAAAGGACTTTAGAAAAATAAAAATATATTTGTAGCTTTGAGTTAGTTCCGGGTTAGTTTAAGTGAAAATACGCGAAAGAAAAATACCCGGGTAAAAGGCCACATGTGCTCACCTTTTTAAGTCACTTAAGCTTCATTTCCAAATAAAATTCTCTCTCCTCTCCTCACTCCAAACCCGAGCTGCACCATGAGAAAGGGGGTTAGGGTATTTTTCTGATTTTGTTGATTCTCTTTGAATCTTCCACCAAATCTAATGACCCACCACATAAAATCGATTAGGAACTACTCAATGAATCCATTGCACCTATCCATTTGAGCTATAGTTGAGTGTGTGAAGAGTTATTCCTCCTCTCATTTTCGAGTTACTATTCATTGGAGGAGAAAAAGTGAGTTTTTGATGGAGCTTGGCTTGGAGATTGCTCTCTAGGCTTTGTACAAGTGTTTAGAGGTAAGAAACCTCTATTTCCATGATATTATTTTGATGATTTAAGTTATGAAATATATGAGCATGTTGTGAGTGGGGAATAATTGATGTTGGAATGTGAAATTTATGATGGATTATTGTTGTTTAGGAAGTTATAGTGTTGAGTAAGCATCCACATGTGATATAAAAATTTAAAAGCCCTATTGCATCTTCCTCCTAGGTTTCGGCCATCATGGAGTGAGTAGGAGTTATTGTGGAAAAATTATATTATGTATTGTGAAGGTATAGTGTGTTGGAAATGAGTGAAAATGGATGAGTTAGTAAGAATGCCTAAGTAAAAAGGACTTGGTGTCTAAACTCAAAATAGGAATTTAGTGGAAGCATTCCTAGGTGTTTGCAAGTTGTAATGAAGTAACGAAAATGTATTGTAAAAGAGAAGGATCTTTGGAAATTCCCCTTATAGGATTCGACCTATAGGGTATTTAGGGATATATTTTGTACATTTTATTTTAAATAAAAAGTGTTGTAATAAATTGTATAAAGGTGATGAGTTTTGAAGAAAAATAGCATGATTTATGTTGAAAATTCCTAAGGGAATGGTTGATTAAATTAAAGAACACCAACGGTTATAAAGAGGTCTAGACTTGTGTATTGGCATAGGATTGGCAAAAATGCAAAGAAAGGAAAATAAGCGATAAAATGTATGCTTATGAAATAATTATGGTATTGCATCATTTTATTGATGCATTGTAAATTATTCTCTAGGTGTGCCTAGGGATTGAGAAGGATCGGAAATCTCTTGAAGCGATAAAAGTAACTTGTTCCACAAGTAAGCGTATTGGTAAAGCTTCAAGAGGTAAGCTCTATGTTTAAGGAGTCTTTTCCTGCTTGAGTGCTCCACCATGGTTAGTGAACTATGGTTGGACTGTATGACTGTGATTTAGATGCTTTGTATAGATGCATTCATATAGAGTTATTTGATAACATGATATGTTTTGCTCTGATATGACTTCTGTAATATGATTTCGGTAACAATCTCTGGCCATTGATTGTATAGTACCCGGATGTCCGCTTTGGGGTCCTCCCTCGGGACTGATGGTGTACGCCTCTGATATGTCTGGTTCCGCTTTGGGGTCCTCCCTCGGGAACATGTGCGTTGATTTCCGCTTGGGGTCCTCCCTTGGGAATGACGGCGCACATCTCTGATATGATATGGATATATGCTCTGTTCTGTTATGATATCTGTTATATGTTGTATTTGTATACTCTGTATCTGACTTTCATGCAGGAGTGAGCCAAGGGTATGGAGAATTCTCTATAAACCTGGAGCTTATTGAGATTTGTAATCTCACCCCTCTTTGGGGACATATTTTCAGGTGCCCAGATTCCCGGTGAGTCCTCACTAGGCAGGGACACGACACGTGGCTGAGGCAGTTGACAGATTGGATTTGGAGTGGCTGTAGGCTACTACCTTTTTGGAGTGTTTGATGTATTTTAGTATTTTCGCATTTGATGGATCATGATATTGATCCTTTATTGTGTATATGGCCTGTATATGTTTTGTACATGTCTGTCGCTTTGATGCATGTACATTTGGGTATTCAGGCACGTTATATGATGAGGTAGTATTCAGATATGTTTACGTGTTGGATTGCATGCTGTTAGATATAGTGGCACTGAGCCAAGTTATGCATGCGCCCACGGATGGGCATTTGATTATATTTGTATAAACTGTTTATCAGGAAATGCTTCTGTGAGGGATTGGAAAATCCCCAGTTGTCCGATTTATAGAGGAAACTCTGCCCGATTTTCGTTTACGACGAATGAGAATTTAAAAAGAAAAAGAAAAAGTTAGCTCGTATTTTCAGAAGTTAAGTCTTCCGTTGTTTTCTGTTTTATCATATGTATGTTAATTGAACCGGCTTGAGACGGGGATGTTACATTTATGGTATCAGAGCAGTTTCTCTATAAGAGCCTGTGAAATATTGCATGAACTGTTCGGGTTGTTATATTCTTGAGTTTTTCTTGGAATACTATGATATGCATGTCTGATCATCGAGTGTGAGCGTAGCTAACTCATTCCTTTGTGTGAAATATGCAGAATTATGGTTCGCCCAAGAAGGACTTCTGATCCTCCTATTGACCCGACCGATCCAATATTAGCAGATTTGGCTAGACCCCGACTAAACCAGCGGGGAAATACTTCACAGCCAGATCCAATGATAATGGCCTTAACTGAGATGCAGCAAAATATGGCTGCAGCTAGGCAGCGAGAGCTAGAAGTGATGATGAAAGCAAATCAAGATCTGTTAGAGGCTAATAGATTGGCCAATCAAGAAATGATGGCAGCAAGCAGAATGACGAATATTGAAATGATGAGATTACTCTTGGTTGAGGTGAGGGCGGGTGGGCAAGGTCCACAGCCACAACCTTTGCAACAGCCACAGCCTGAGCCACAACCACAACAGCCTGTTCCTCCTCCTCATAATCCCATTGTTGTGGAGGGTGAAGGAAATAATGATGTGAATGAAGAATCTAGTCACAGGGGTGGTGTGGCACAGCCAGCCACTAATAGAGAGCAAAGAGAAAGAATGCTAAATGCCTTCCGAAAACATGCACCACCAAATTATAAAGGAGGCATTGATCCTATTGCTGCAATTCAGTGGTTAGAAGAATTGGATCGCATTTTTACTGTCATGGAGTGTGATGATCAGCAGAAATTGTTGTATGCTTCTTATATGTTGCAGAATGATGCAGCTGATTGGTGGAGAAATACCCGTCTGCCCTTGGAATGTCAGGGTTATGCTATTACCTGGCCTTTATTTGAAAGGCAATTCTTGCTGAAATACTTTCCGGCTGAAGCCCGGATAAGGAAGAAGGGTGAATTTGAAGAACTAAAGCAGGGTCAGATGTCTATTGATGAATACTTGAATAAGTTCAATAAGCTGGCCAAATACTCTCATTTCCAGAGAGCTCCACCTACAGAAGATGACTTGATTTTTAAATTTCATAGAGGATTACATGATAACATCTCTGAAAAACTTGCAGGTGACTCATTTGATACTTTTGCTGCACTTGTTAAAAAGTGTAAAAATATTCAAGAATATTACAGAAGGAAGCATAAGGACCAATCTGCTCCTAATTCTGGTCCTAAAAACACCTCTGGGAATTCTAAAGGAAAAGGGTTGCAGGTTAGACAGTCTGATGGTAAGTTCAAAAAGACGGGAAATTCTAAGCCTGGAAATATTAAGCCTGCTTCTCTATGTGCTACATGTGGTAAAGTTCATGCA